TGCATCATTTACTTGCCATTCCCATGAATGACATTTTGAGTACACAATCCATAAATATAGCTAGATTAAAATGAACTTAGCTTAGACATAAACAAGTAGAAGCTTGGAAAAGACATTTACGAGTTCAGATGTGTTTTCGTTTAGGCGTGGTGCAGCAGAAAAAATCCTGGAGAAACTATTCGATTTCCGATTCGAAAATATTCGGTCAAAACCACTATTCGCTTCGAACTCGAAAACTACTATTCGCCCATGCATAGAAAACCACATCAAAACGTACATTGTCCTATCAGAACTACTATTCGTAGATCCCTGCTTCATGTCTGCGTAACTTTAAAAAAATTCCTTCGCTTTCTCGCGTATATTGTGCATTGTGATCGGATCTACCATTTTCATTAGTTTTCCGCCCTGCGTGAATATGACAAAGTTCCTATGCCCTTTGATTTATGTCTGGTGAGTTCTCGGGACTCAATTATTTTGTTATTTCATAAATAAAATATTGCACTTAAAAAAGGAACTATACGTATTTTCCAGCTTACATTTCTTTATTTTTTTTTTAATTTTTGCCTTAGTTTAAATATTTGTAGTCATATATGCTTATTTCGGCTTATTTATTTAGTATATTCTCGTTTATATTCTCTTAGTAAATTTCTGGCCCTCGAGAGCGCAACAGAGTCCCAATCCGACCCTCTAGCCAAAGGTTTTGAGATCCCTGGTTGAGCGTGCGCGTCGTTTGAAGCCTGAGGATTATGGTGGGCCCTTCGTGCCCATTGCGAGGCAGTAAACGCGAAGCATTTCTGGAAAGAGTGCGGACACTCTCTCATCGGGCACGTATCACCACGATTCTTTATTATTCCCGGATTACCTGGCACCGGTATTACAACTTAAAAACTTTGCCAATGAAGTCTGACCCCAATATGACTTCTTCAACCGCGGCATTTACTATTCTTACACGCACGCATAAGGATAACTATACTCCTTGAAACGTGTTCAACTGCTCGTGCTCATTTTTCTTTCCAAGCCCGACGACTACGAAGTTCGCCGAATGGCTGATAAACTAATATGACAAAGCTGTCGTTGTTTGCCCGTCAAGAAGCGTGTTCTTGGCGCGGATATCAAACTATATATGGCTCTCTTTGTATAGCTTGTCTTCCTCAGTGCTTGGTGTTTACCCGGAACAAGGGGACTATTGTTGCGTCATCCGCATCGATCGAGCGCAAAACCGGAACTCGTGTTCAATGAGATGTGCTTCGCAGATTGCACACGTTTCCCGGCCGAATGCCGACGCGCAGTTCGGCGACGTCAGCCGAACGCTGCGTCGGAGACACAATCGACTAATTTCGGTGCTGGCTGTCCTCGTGAGTTTAGTTCCCAACATAGCCGCTAGGGGCGCAGCGGGTGGATCTCTTTCCGAAAGAAGCAGGGCGAACTCGGCGAAGTATATTATACACACCTCCCCTGCAGCGTATGTACCTCCTTAAAGGTTTGACGCTTCCCCAAGTGTTGTTCGGAGGGACGGTGCGACCCGAGCCGCGGAGTTGATAAAGTGGTCCCGCCCGATTCCGAAAACGTGCCCGGCATACACGCGGGGGTCCTTAGTTCGGCACCGGCGCCAATGGGTGCAGATTATAAGCGTCGACGCGCGACAGGGCTCGCGGTGCATCCGAGTGGCGCGACGTGTTGTTCGGCCGTGTAGCTCGCTCCGGCAGCGGCGTGAAGTCGACAAAGAATCCCCTGGAAACAAGTCGGCGGTCGGTCATCTCTCGGTGACCAAGCGCGCCTGAAGAGCCCGGCCGACCCGCGGCTCTACTCCGTTTCACCTGTATACGATGAACCGCTCGCTGTTTACGAGCCACTGCGGCCAATCCAGTGCCGCGTGTGAATGTTACGTGATTTTCGGGAGAGACGCGGCGACGCGTGGGGAGCACAGTCACGTGATTTGCTCGGAGTGCTGGATTGGTGGGAATGGCACGTAGCATCCTCTTCTGTCCATCGTAAGGTGGAACGGAGTATTGCTGGCTCCAATTTAGGCCTACATCCGATAGGCGGCAGCCGCGGAGTCTGTTCTCTCGCGGGCTGCTCGCCGCAATCTGTGGCGGAAACAAGCAGTCGGTGTAATTGCAAGCACTCTTGTCTGGGTGGCTTCTCCGAGTGCAGTTGAGTTTGGAGCAGGGTGTAAGATAGGCAGGTGGGGAAACGGCCCATAGAAGCCTGCCGCAGCGCCGTGATCGGATTGTGTACTCGTCTGCTTGCCCCCGATTTGCGACAGATGGCGCTGCGGCGAGAGGAAAAAAATCGGATTCGGATTTGCATGGAAATTTATGCGAGAGTGCGCAAAATAAACCGAGAGCACGACAGTCCTTCATTGAAAATCCACGAGAAATAATCTTCGACAGTTTAGTTGGTCGCCACCGGTCGCCTACCCGGAGTGAGAGTTCGCGGTGTTCCACATAGACGGCGCCACAGAAAAAAGAGAAAACCGAGGGGTACACAATCAGGTCGCTCATTCGGCGCTCGTTTCCCCACCTGTCTATCTTACACCCTGGTTTGGAGCATGGGAGCTCAGCCCTAACTGTCACGGCTCCGTCTTTTTTTTTTCTTCTTTTTTTTTTTAATATTGTTATAGGTACAAAAATTTTGTTCACTTCCTGCGTTAGTATGTTTCGAAAGCTATTTTCTCACTTGAAATCTAACAGGTATACACTAATGCTAGTTTTTCTCAAGCATACATCGTTAAGCGTACTGGCAATTTAAAAAAGAAATTGCTGGTGTCTGTCAAGATTGCGTTGCTTGATACTAGTCTCCGGTGCCGCGTTGACCATCTTGAGTAACGTCAAGACGATGTTTAATTTATTAAAAGAAATATAAACTCGAATATTCAAAAGTAGCGTCGCTAACGCACTTCTTTCTTTTTTCGGGTGTCCGTAAAAGATTATTTGTTAGATTTATTCCGACAAAATTGTTTCATTCGTAGATAAATTAATATTGAGATAATTAGCGATTAATTATTGCTAGGGCCCCGTGTTTTCGAATAAATCCGAAAAACTCCGAAAGACACCCACCGATAAGGTTTTGGTCAATTCGGATGTATCCGATAAACTCCGAAATTTGATGTGCCAATGCCCCCCCCCCCCCCTTTCCCCCCCTCCCCCCCTTCCAATAAATGAAATAAATACGGTATTTTATAATTAAGATTGATCAGTCCACAGCGTCAATGGTCTCGGGAAAATGCGACCACAGTTATCTTTCAAATCTCCGTTCATTGACAAAAGGGGTCTCACCGATCATCTCGTCAAGGTTCAGAACGACATGTCATTGTGCATTCGGGTCACGACAAAAGCCCCTGTGTTGGTTTCCAGTTTGGGCCATACTATTTGTGTTTTAAGAGGAAGAGAGGTTGTGCTTTTGTAACGGCTAAAGCTATGGATCACAAAGATTGCATAAAATTGGAAGAGGGGCAGTTGAAACTTTCCTATTCCACCCGTTACCCCTCCACCTCGTGCGGCCGCGGGGGTAGCATGAGATAGGAGGGGATTACATAATATGGTGCTGCCAGCGACTACCTCCACGAGTTTATTTTTAAGATATCGACGTTTATCCGAGCCACAGATGTGTGCAACTTTTACCGTGGAACAAATGAGTATTGACAATGGCAATGGCACCAACACCAAACCCAGCTGAAGAAATATTTGATATAAGCGCGTTTTATTTTTCCTTATCTAGCATACGTATACACCCGGATATTATTTTTTTTTCATAAGAAACACTGCGAAATTAAGCTCTGAATATAGGAGAGTTTGGAATCAAACACAAATAAACTTCTATAAACTCCGAATTTACGGTGAAAAAAAAACTCCGAAAACACGGAATCCTAATTATTGCTATGGGTTTCCCGTTTTTTCTGAAGATATTAACTTTACAAAATGATCATTTTGCATCGCGTATTCAATTATATAACAAAAAAGTTAAAAGAACAAGTGCTGTTTATATTTTTTTATTCAAAATGATAAAAAATACAATGTATTTTTCGGCAAAAATTATTTATTTTCAATTATTTTTACGGGAGGCGCATACGTACCTTTTCACATGTATTTGGTCTGCCCCCCTGACGTCAACTCTCTGATCATAAATTAATAAAGTGATTTGATGCGATTAAGCGACAGGTATGGGGGAATAATTTTTTCCAATATCTTTAATGTGTGTGTGTATGTATATAGGTTTGGTTTCGTGAACAAGTAAACCTCATCTAAAAATTCTTCTTCTCTTTCGTTCATTCAAAGTGGAAAATACGTGTTGCGAAGGTGCACGTGTGTTAAGATTATCTAGAGATATTGTGCTATAGTCAGAGCAAAATAAATATCTTCATGGGTAAAACTTTAGCAGTGAAACTGTAGCAATTTATAGCGATAGGTTTAGCGGCATATTTTCATTATAATGGTAAGTCGAAGCAAAAATTGAGTTACCGTTATAATGCCACCACTCCTGGCTGCTGTCCCGGCCAAAAAGAATCGCGCTTGACGAATTTCGCCTTTGGTGAATGCACAAGGCGCGGTTTTTCCCCCATTTCGGAATGCTCGGGGAAACTAGCGCATCAGGGCAAGACACAGCCAAATCCGCATACGGTTTGCCGTCGCACCACGACTCATTTTTTTTCTCTTTTTTCTGTCTGAACAGATTTTCAGCCAGGTCATTCGCCGAACTCTCTTCGCAGATTCTAGCAATTGGCACACCCCGATTGTTTGCGGGGAAGGTAGCACGCACTTGCAATCTAGTAGGACCAAGGGAGACACGACCGATTTTTAAGCCTCTTGCCATGGCGGAGGACCTGCTCCGCAGCAGCGCATCCGGTCCTCCGCTGTCGCAAGAGGCTCAAAAACCGGTTTTGTCTCTCTTGGTCCTACTCGGTTGCAAGTGTGTGAACGGCGCTTTAGAGTGCAGTATATGTCATTAAAACATCCACGCATCTCTCTCGTCGTGATCTTACAGGGACGGCCCGAGCTCACCTTCTCGTTTTGGTAGGCGGTGACGGCGATGAACTCCGTCTCCTTGAAGACGTACGTCCTGAAGGTGCTGTAGGGAAGCTTGAGGATGTCGTTGGCGCGCACCAGGTGGAACCGGGGCTGGTACTTGTGCATCGAGTTCAGGATCGTCTGCCAGTGGGACAAGAAGAAGCCCTGCAGATTTATTCAGCCTGCCAAATAGCCTCGCCAACCGGCGCGGTACGACGTGCGGAAAGGCCGCCGAGGGTTTAAACTTTATGATTTAATGAGCTCGACAATTTTATTACTGCGGTGATCTAGGAAAACGTAAGACCTTGATATAAAGTGGTTCTATAATCGTATAAAAGTGCACTTTCAGAGTTGAGCGCCGTGACAAAAGCAAGACAGAAAATTAGCCGATACATTGTTTTATTGACCGCTCTTGTTTTTAGTGCATTTTGTACCGGCTTATATACTACCATTTGTTTTTGATTCTTCCCTTCCTTTTGTAATGCCTCCGGGCCGATGAAGTAATGAAATAAATAAATTACTTAACAAAAAATATTGAGAATCTAAGCTTGCGAAATTGAAACCCGGATACTTCATTGGAAATATTTACACTACATTCCTCATTTGTTTTGTTGAACGAATCATATGAGACTCACAAATACGCCACAACTAGAAAAGTCTTGCAAAAAAGAAAATAGAAACTGGTACATACTAAACAGCCTATCGGCGTCCAGTATTTGCTCTTAAAATTGCCGACAAACACTCGGAACATATACCCTCTCTTCCGCCAAAAGTTAACATCCAAAAATGGTCAAAATGCCTCGTCTACTTGCAGCCCTTTCTATTTCGGCTATGTTGCGGTACCGGGCCGGTGAGAAGGACGTTTTTATCAAGAATTCCTGATCTTGATCCTCACAAGAAAAAGTTCTTCCAGCCCCACAGTACATAGTCGAATAATTACAGAGGGTTCAAAACAAAGAAGTGATTGCGTTGGCTTTGCAGTAGTTGCCCACGGGGGTAACGGTACGTCGGAAGCTTTTTTTGCGGTCAGAAAATCACGCACAAAACAAGTAGCAAGATAAAGGGTTTTAAGCTATGTCTACAAAATCAAATTTGTTCTGCAGTGTCACACTTGATCTAAAAATTGAAAATTTTTGTCTGTAATTACAAGTTTTGTTTATAGGTGAGCCAAACGCTGCCGTTGAAGAGGAGAGCTCGGCGATATATGGGTCTGAAAATATGTATACACACTAAAATAAATAATGTGCACGCTGTCATCAAACATAACGCTTCCCCGTGCTCAGACAGAGTCACAAAAAAAAAAAAAAAAAGAACTGGCTTTCTTTTTTTTTTTTTTTTTTAGTTTAGACTCGTAATTGGCCACGACAATCACCGAGCTTCTTGCTTAAATTGCAGCGATTGTCTTTTGTCTTTCCAAAGTGTGCTGCGGAAAAGTCCAGATTCCAGATTTCTTAAACTAATGTAACAACAATCTACAGGGTTTTTTTTCGCGTTTTTTTTCGCGAGCCAAATAAACTTGTCATTATTGCGCCAGTTGCAGTCTACCAAGCAACCAATATCACTAATCGCTAAACGCCAGAGATAAGCTTTAAGGCGGAGTCACAATGCTCATACGTCATACAAACGTCACGGTGTTTGCTGAAGACACGTATGCAATAATATGAACTTTCTTTAGCAAACCGTTACCGTGTTTCGCGTACCGCGCTTTACTGGAGCCCTTGAAGCATTGGCTTTTAAGCGCGCGCTCCCCGCACGGTCACGGTATCGCTCCGGACGCGCGCTTAAAAGCGTGCCTCAAAGGCTCCAGCACAGTGCGGCACGCGGAACACGGTAACGGTTTGCTAAAAAGTTCCTAATGATCTGCGCTACGCCTCAAGCATGTTCAAAGCGCATGCTTGCTCGCACACGTCTACTATGCTTGTATGACCAATGTCGAGGGTCATAAAAGAAACAAAAATTCCGAGTACACCTAAGCACGTCCTATGAGTTGTGATTTCGAAAGCATGAATGTGGTTCTTCCGCTCCCTTAGTTCGTCTGCGGCGTTCTTTCGTGGCCGGCCACGTTTCGCTACTGCCGAGGTTGCGGCCGACGGCCGAGCGCGCCCTCTCGTGAAGTGGCCGCGCCGCGCTGAGCACGGCCGTGCAGCCACTCCGGAGTCTGCCCGTGCTCGGCGGCCGGTCTGCTGCGCCGTCCTTGAGAGGGCTCCTCTGGTGGCGTTCCTTGGAACTACGCCACGCGAGAGCCAATGCGAGCCTCGTTCCTTGAAACTATGACGCGCGCCAGCCAATAGGAGCCTATCTATGAACTCGCTGCCACTGACGACAGGTTTCGCTCCATTGGGACAGGGGAGGTTAGGTGCCGTTCGGTGCGTCTTCAAAAGCTGATAACACCGGTTTCCTCCATAAGACAGTTAATGCTTTCTCATAAAAAAAAAAACACCTCAAGTATTGTCCGCAGTCTGTATTTGTAATGACGTATGACCAGCGTAACTACGACTTTAAGCTCGGTGACCATCGAATTGGCACAAAAACGCGATTAGAACAAACAATAAAAAAAAGACAACACGTTGTGGTCACCGGTGGTGGGCAGCAACTTCTCCGAGTCCACAAATTATTACGTTAGCGTCGCACAAATGATCGAGCCACAGCGAGCGGACGCAGCTGCCGACACTCGCGGTCGGCTGCTCAAATACGAAGCTGCAGCGGTGTGGCCCCCTCTCTAATGAATTCCGCTTTTGACGACCGACGCCGGTGGTTTCGTTATTAATGGTCCGCTGCCACGATGTCTGTCTCCCCCCCAATCCCGGGACCGCACCAATTGCATCCTCGCGGAATGAACGGAGCTGGACTGGCCACACAAATGTAATCGCCCTAATGATTTTCGTTTCCCTTTATTTTTTTATTTTTACCATAGAAACTTACGCGTTCCTTTGACAGCGGCTGCGCAATGATGAGTGGTGCCTTTGCGCGTAAAAAAACCTTTCTCTATTCTCATAAAAAAAAAAAAATTGCCGTCTCAGCGTTAATATTTATCACTTTTAAAAGTATGTCGCATCTACTATTCCGAAAAGCACTCGGAAGAGCCAATACACTCTTTCCAAAAGCCCACCAAGCAACACTAGCGGTCGCCATTTGTTGGGAACGCGAAGCGTGTGATTGGATACGAAGTCTCGCCGAACGCCGACGTAATACACGTTTTTCACGCGAGATGTGCCGAGTTCAAGAGCGAGGCTGACGTAACCCTCTGGGGTCCTTTATACGTTGACGGAGTATACGGGCTCGAAAAATGGCGGGCTCGATTTGCAAAGCAGCTAGTAAACTGCGCGCCTTTTTGAGAAAAAAACTAAGAGTTTTATTGCTGCAATTTCTGGATGGGACTAAGGTATGACGAGACTAAAAATATGTACAGACCTAAAAAAAAAAAGCTGCGCTGACACTGGACATGAAAACGTCATACCTAATGTCGCAGCGCATGGCTACTTTCTTTTAATGTCTAAACGTGTTTGTATCCTCTTAATTCGCCAATCTCCTTCGACAGAATGTTGCTCAATTGACGCTAACCAGTGGCGTGACGTCAAAAAGTTGAATTGGTGTCGCTAGCAGCTCAAGAAACGCAGGCTATATAAGCAAAGAACGAACATACGTCAACCCGCGAACCAATCAGGTCGGTGAAGCGAAGCACGTGACAGCGGAGTGCACTCCGGAGGTATACGTTGTTGTCACGTGATTGTCCGCAACGCGCGACGAAAGAGCCGAAGTGCGTAACAATTCCGTATAGCAAACGCTGTTGAAGCACAGTACACACATTAATGGTCAAGATATTGTATAAAATGTTCCGATTAGCGTTGTAGGCGCACTGTGAGGCAGTATAATATTTTTTAAAGAAAATCCTATACGGTTTAGCGCCCTTACCATGCCACCCTCCCAAAGTGACTGTCAGTTCTCTTTCCTGTACAGCACGGAAGCTGCCAGTCACTTCCAACAACGGAGAGATTGCAGCGAATAATGAAGTTCAGAATGCAAAAGTGGATCCTTTTCAAGAGTGCGAGTCATGAAGTGGCTGCAGCGGCCATGATTCGAATTCGCCGTTGTTTGGGCAGCTGCTCTGACGAACACGTTTAAAGGACACGAGGGATGCGTGAGCACTCGGCGGGGATTCGGATCCAGTCGCACGCTTAGTTGATGCCATAGCGATGGCGGCCACATATATGTTGCTCCATGGAGTTTTGAAAAGGGTGTGTATTACGTATGAAAAAGGCGGTTTCCGCGTGGACAATGAGCACGCGAACGATCATCGTTCATGCGCACATCGCATCTTTCAGGTTCATATGTATTCTGACTTTGCCATTCCTTCGGATCCATTCGCTGTTTGTAGCGATTAGCTGGCTCTTGTTTCTGTGTTCTGCAGGAAAGTAAACACACAGCCGTTTTCTTTTTAGAATGAAGAATGTAAACGTTTTGTACCGCGTGTACACTAACTATTCAATCTCACTTTGGACGGTCCGCTAAAATCGGTGTACTAAAGGCCCACGTAGAACTTGCGGTTTTCTGCAGGGAAGATAATCATTTTATCTCTCTTCTCTTCTAAACTGCGAGGAGAGCTAAGGTAGGACGAGGTAAAAAGTGGAGAGGATACAGGAAAGGAGGAGGCAGGCAAAAGGGGAAAGCGCGAGGTGTAAGTCGGCCTTTAACGCATCGCGCTGGGATTTACTGTAGAGGTGCCCGTAGGTGGTGCATTTTTCATTTAAGAGTATGAATACATGAAACCTCTGGAGTCAAAAGATAGAAAATGAAAACTGGGTTTGTCAATGAAAAAATTATCGCGAAACCTTTTGTCTCAAAATCATAAAAAAAAACAAAAAACGTTCTGGGCTATTCTGGCGTGTATTACGACTAAACAAACGGGGAAATGGAAAGAGAATACAATTGGCTTACCTATTCCTCACTTTTTTTGGCCCCAAAGAGCGACACACTTACACGAAATATTATTTAAATGTACAAACCAAATATTAAAAAAAATATTTCTGATTTGCTTAAGTGTGCCAATCTTCCCACAATTTTAGTAAAAGCATCCACCACCTTCGGTCATTTTTGAATGCTAGCGCGATTCATTAAGAACTCGATTTATGCGGACCATCCATACTGGGATCGAAGCATTAGTGTACACGCTTATATTGGTTCGGCGACCCCCACTGAGGCTTATTTCTCATTAGAGTTGGTTTATTTACTTGGCTAAGGGGCCATCAGCCTACGCATTCCTATTGGATAAGCATCACCGTATTTTGATAGGATCTGTAATAGCTTCCTTTTTATTTACCAATCTACGGTGTGTGATTTTATTGGCCTGAGCCCAAGACTGCCGCTTCAGTGTATTTCTCACCCAGCCTGGCGTTAACCACCGATCGCAACACACCATGATGCGTTCATTCCGCGGCGCAACGCGAAAAAATGCGAGAGGCCGGTGACCGAAGCTAAGTGGAACAGGATTACAAGGAGCGTTGAGGTTTCAGTATATTAGATACAACTTACTTTCTGGATTAGTTTTATTGTTAGTTTAGGGTGTTCCTTTCGTGGTTTTCGTTTCCGGTCACTATTAATCCCACTATGTTAAACGATTACCAACTCGCCGAGTTCAACACTCTGATGAAGTTTATGAATTTTTCGTTAGACCATTAAGCAAATAGAGTTTTTTTTTTATTTTCTAGAGATTATGTAATTAATTTTAGTCAACGACAAAATCAAAGCAACATTTCATAATTTTTTTTTATCTTTATTTATAGAGCAGTTATTTATTGCTCACAGCCATGAAAAAAAAAAAAAACTCGCATTAGCAACTTATATTTAGCAACTACGGTCGTACCCTGAAGTTAAAGTATAAAACATAAGCATAAAGTAAGAACACCGTCCCCAATAATCATATCATTGTGACTAAAATTTGATTATACTTAATTAAGTAACGCATACTGATAAGTTAATCAGTTCCTCACTCTTGGTGCTGAGTGGTCGAGTACTCAACGCAGCGGCATGATTAACACATGCAGATATGTAGGTGGTGAAGGGGCTGTGAAGAAGCATTTACTCACAAAGCCATGCTTGTCGGATATGTTGTTGGTGAGCTTGAGCTTGTGGAAGGACACCACTTTCTGCATCCACTGCTCTCCGGTCGACGGCGAGTCCGGGTGGATGTACATGCGCTTGGGCATCTCGGGATCCGCCTTGCCCGCCACCACCCAGCGGCGGTTCTGGAACTTGTAGCGGCAGTCGTCGGCCGCTACGATGTCCATCAGCATGATGTACTTGGCCTTCTTGTCCAGACCCGTCACCCTGACCTTGTACGCAGGAAACATCCGTCTGCAGAGGAACCGGAGGCTCAGCTTAGGAACCAGGAATCTCTCGAGACATTTAATTGATCTTCGATACGATGCGGACAAGTTTCTTGTACATTTATTCAATATACTTAAATTGAGATGAATCTAGTTCTTGGCAAGGTTGTATGATGCTACACTGCATGGCAACCCGTGGCCAGGCACGTAGCCAGGATTTTGTTTCGGGGGGGGGGGGGGGCCGCTCATGACAAAATGCTGACTGAGGGGGAGGGGAAGAGAAGGTCCCAGCAAAATAAAAGATTTCGGGGGGAGGGGGGGGGGGGGGAGGGAGGACCCTATGGGCCCTCCCCCTGGCTACGTGCCTGGTCGTGGCTATAACCGGTCGCCACCACGTGTGGACGTAAGTACGTAAAGTGGCTATTAGAAGAGTCAACTTTAGGATAAAGTATAAGAACTGCATGGTAACGATGAAATAAATGTTGAGACTTAAAAAGCACAATCGTTGATTATGCTATTGAGAGAACGAGTTTCGGAATCTGGGGGAGGGGGGGGGGGGGGGGGGGAGTAGCAGCTGGGGGTTCAACTAATTTGACAGACAGACTACAATAATCCATAATAGTTTATTGTTGCAAAAAAAAGTTAGAGAGCTTATGGATTCTGCCAAGAGCTCAAACGTTTTGCTGGCAGCCGCTTGAACATTCAGTGAAGAAGGCATACACAGCCGAATGATACAGAATTCCAGAACTCGGCAAAGAGAAAGGAGGGCTTTGTTTCTTACTACCAAATTCCGAACATTTCGCGCATAACAGAGCTGAACCAGAGATGAATTCTAGTCGGTAATACGAACAAAATAATGTTCGGTACCTTCTCGTTTGTTCCAACCTATAACATCCGGATGATCAGTTATACGCGCATAAGCCGTGTTTCTGGCGTCGTTTCGTCATTTAATCCCCGTACACTTTTCGTGCTGTAATCTTCCAACTTAATCCTGGCATCAATTCTCATAAAGCCGCCGTCCACTTCTTCCAGCCGTTCGTTCGTGAGGTGCCAAAGCCAAGCATGACGTCGTTACCAGTATATATACAGCCGGATCGGGAGTACGAGGGTCAGTCACGTGAAACCTGCAGCTTGCCTCCCGTCCTGTACCTCCCGTCTCCAGTAGACACTAGATGTCACCGACAACTAAAGAAGCTCAGGGCGGGGCTTATGTGCATCTCTCTTGCTTCGCCATTCGTTCTGCGTCGTTCTTATTGGTTATAATGCAGCAATCTCATTGACTGAAGAGCGAAAATGAGCCCTGCCCTAAGTTTCTTAAGCTGTCGGGGAGTACAGGTATTCTACGGTGTTGCATTTGAGTAGAAAGAGGGGCTGGGGGGGGGGGGGGGGGGGTATAGCGCCAAATACGTATAGGATTTATTCTGGTGACGCTTGAGTGCGTCTGCGCGTTCAGATCCCGTTGCCCGCGTGTGCCCCGATTGTCGTCGTTATGCACTGCGCTATTTAAACCGAGACCAGACATAACATCTACGTCAAAAGGCGCGTTCACACTGGCAAATCGCAGCCGTCGCGCGGCAACCTTTGCGACAGTTGCAAGTCAGAAAAGCAACCGGTTCGGAGCAGTCGTTTCCAGACAGATTTTTGCGAACGGTTACCGAGTCGCGTGGCGGCTGAACGAATCAGCGGCGCCTCGGAACTGACGTGAAGTGCGCCTGGCATTTTTTTACATCAGGCAAGCCAAACTAATGTGGGAGAAGCAACCAGCATGACCGTCCAACGCCTCAGTTCGCGATAGCGGCCGTGGATACGGAGCCACGGAGGTCTCTGCGGCTGCGGCTATGGTCAGCGCTATTAAACAACACCCATTTCTTTATAAATAGCACCGCCTCAATTTGAAAGAGCGCCCGAAAAAAGAACTCGGCCTGGCAGCAAATCCGTGCCACTTTCGCCATGCATGGCAGGTACGTACTGCGACGCGGTAGCTCGAGCGAGTGTACGTCGATGTAGCGATTTTGCTTCTTTGTGCAGTTCAGAAGGACCCGGGTCAACGCAACGAATCTTTTTCATATGGGGAACGACGACGCAGATATAGCTGTGAGACAAGGAAAATGGGAAAGCAGCGAAACGCGGACCCGAGCGGAGGCGGGGAGGACGGAATCGAAGGTGGTTCCCGATAGCTCCGAAGAAGCGACTCGCCGGTAGCGGTCATGTATACTGAGCCATGGAATTTTCTGCGGCGGCTCTGATCTGCTCTGATCAGGGTGTCCCTTTCTTTATATCAACCAGTACCCCTATCCGAACGAGCGCCCGAAAAGGAACTCGGCCTGGCAACAATTCCGTGGCTTTGGGCTCGAAAGGGTCCGCGGATGAAGCTCGAGGGAGTGCACGTTAGTGTAGCGATTGCGCTTTCATTAGGGAATTCTCGTAGATCGTTTTCGCCGTCCCGCAAGGCCCTCCGCAACCCGCTACGATAGCGGAAACTCCACAGTCAAGGCTATCGGCGCGCAGGCGCAGTAGCAACTTCTCCGTTGCGGAACGCTTAGCGGAGGGGGCAGCGCAGTCTACGAAAACTCCCTATTGTACGGTTCCGAAGGTCCCAGGCCAATACCACGAGTATTTATTTTGTGGCAAAAACGACGCACGTAAATACAAAAATGGGAAAGCAGCGGAGCGTGACTCGTCGGCTGCGGCTAGCTGATCGCCCGCAGTGTGAACGTCGGGGGTCGCTTGCCGCACGTCGCTAACCGCTCGCGCGACCGTCGCTATTCTCAAGTCTGAGCGCGACTTAACACTGTCCTCGTTGCAGAGCGTCCAGGGACAAAAAGGCTCGCCGCGCGCGAAAAAAAGACAGACAAGAGATAGACACTGAAAGGGGCCCTGCAAGGACCTTTTTACAGTTTTTTTTTAATTTGCACCGAACCTGAGCGCAAGGAACGTAGTAACTTAATGAAACTTTTCTTTTCTCGAATTTCGCTTTATTTGAAAAGTTACAGGCGAATTAAAATTACAAAAACAAGCAAAAAATAACCTCCTTTATGACGTCCTTGGTCCTGGCTTGGGTGGTCGTGAAATGGAAGAGGGGTAGTGAGCTCAGCGAGCGCTCACGACTGCCGCACTCCATGTTGAAGGCTCAAAAGGGCGCCACTAAAACATGTTCTGGATAGGCTGTATGAATCGGGCAGTCATGGCGGCTCGCATTACTTTTGCTGCGCGATTAAACGCTAATTCGGCATGACACTTCATTGGCCACAAACGACAGCAAACACGGGGTAAAGATCAGTTCAGAACGGGAGCCACTTCGCGCTGCCATACCGCCAAAGGGCCAAACCGCAAGCCAGAGCTGCTCGCCGAAGGCCTTGGGAACGCTCCGAACCGGTCGGATCCTCGAGCCCGTAACGACCGCAACGCCGCCGCGTACATCCGGCACCTTTCTACGCTCGCTGCTTGTTGGCGCCTGATCCCACTACACCTTTCTAGTATGCGCCGCCTTTTCCAACGCTTGGTGGCGGGTTTGTGGACGGGTCATTTCTTGTTTCCGTACTTTATATACTGCATTTGTTTCTTGTCCGATCTAAAATACTGAACAAAAACTGCTTTTATAAATTATTGAAACGGTCCGTGCCACTTATATTTTGTATATCGACTAAAAAGAAGCTTTTAGCGGCTCTGACCAGCAATAAGCCCAGAACCAAAGACGTCACATTTCGCGCGCTTTCGGTATCGCGGGTCGCCCCCGTAGGTGGGGGAGGTTTCCGTGTCGCCCGGTTAAAATATGACGCACTGATATTTAGCTACTCTATTCGTGCCCGCTGACTTGCCCGAGCCCCAAGAAACGTGGAAACCGCAAAAAAGTTTGAAGCTTAAATATGATTGCAGGGCCCCTTTAAGGGGTTTGACAATGCTTTTGTAAAACTTACATTAACCAAACTCTCGTTGACAATCGTTTTTTTTTTACTTTAACTGTCTTACTATTTTTGTGCTTGTAAAAATACATCTTTGCATCACCATGCATTGATAATAAATTTCGTCCCGCACAAACAAATACTCAAACCTTGAAACTCGTTATTATTGAAAAATAGAATGAGGTAATTCTAATGCACGCTAAATTTCGTTTCGCTGCGTCGTGTGATAAGACAGCATATCAGCCCAAATGACGTAAGAAATAACAAAGAGACTCCACGTGTTGTGCTCCGCCTAAATGAGCCTTGGTCGAGATAACACGTTTAATTACATTTAACATCGGCTGTATAGACCCTTTTCATGACAAACGCCGCCAGACCATGCTCCAGTTTCTGACGCCCCGGAGAAGTTTCGGCTCATAAAAAGAACGGACAAAGCACAACATAACATCGCTGCTTGAAATGTCAATGGAACGTTTAACCACCAATTCTTTAGGTGAATTCCGAAAGAACAAAGAAGCACGAGATCTGTTCAAATTTTTCCAAGATTCTCGTAAACCAGACCTCAAATTGTACAGCCGAAGACCTTCGTTAAGTCCTCGAGGTGGCTGTGCAGTGTGTACGCTTTGCAGCGCGTATGCTTCCGTGCAGCATGTATGCTTTCTAGCACTGGAGACATAAGCAAGCTCGACAGTCTTGCAAAGACGGCGCGACGTACCGGGAGTCGCTTGGGACGCAAGCGGCAGTTCATGTTTGTAAACACCACAATAAAAGGGTCCGTAGGGACTTTCTAACTGCATTTGCGGTGTCGCTATCGTGCCCCAGGCAAAGAACTTCGTTCCAAACTGCGCTCGCGCGTTCACCGCGCCGCGATATTAGGCAAAGCAGGCGTACTTGGCTCCTGTAAGGCGGCTTTGTCTTCTACGGTCAATGTGGGGGGCGCCGCTACACATTCCTCATCGTAGAGTTTGGTTTGCGCACATATTGAGATGCTAAGAGAACCATCGCTCATAACGGTACCTGTCTCGATTTAGTCTTAGGCACATACTTCGACTCATCTGTGCAGTGTGTTCTTTTTCCTACATACTTCGAAAGCCATAACATTGCGTTGCGTGTGATTGACAAAAAT